ACTTTTCACAGGTACACTGATTTGGATAGGGGAAAGATAAATATATTGACCCACATAGGGAAAGACAGCTCAAATCCGCCGTTATTAATCTGAAAAATGTCACTGTTTGAGTGTTTCGCGTCATCACTTTAGCAACAAACTCGTATGCTAAATGACTGCATCATCATTTTATGTCACACATGTCATGTACCATCAAATATTTTGCTGTAGGAAAGTGTGGGAGAATTAATAATCACTCCTGTGTTACGAAGACATCATTGACTGAAAATGAAGTAGCAACTGAAGTATTGTACAGCACTTCTTCAATACCTGTGAACGATTGCTTTTACAGTACAATGATCAAAGGTCAAGATCAGTTGAAGGTGTACTACGAATAGAAAATTTGTTTGTCAGCAGATATCATGCAAACTTCACTGCTTCCTTTCAGAAAATGCTTGATTGTGCATTATTGTTAAAGTGTCGGGACAAAACCTCATGATTACTGTTGCTAGGAAGCACGGTAGTCTAGTGGTAAGACGCCGGTAAAACGGTATCTAAGAACTTTGCTATATTTATTTATTATTATTGTTTTAGAAAGTACATTGTGCATAACATTCTGCACCACATGAATTCCTCAACAATCATAGCCACGTAATCAATCAACTTTCACTCTTTTCTGAGGATAAGTAATTCATTTCTTCTATATTTGTTGGATCTGAAATCAAAATATGCATGATAATATTCACGGATAATATACACAAAACTACTCATATTACTCCACATTTAAAAATGCAATTTGAACATTTTTTTATGCCATGGCGCGGCGTTCGTCGTCCGTCCGTAAACTTTTTGATTCAACGACTTCTTATAAAGATCCGATAGGCCTAGAGTCATGATATTTGGCCAGTAGCATCTTATGACGGGGCTCGACAAAGTCTGCAAACGAAAATGACCTTGACCTACTTTCGAGGTCACAGGTGCCAAATAGGTCTAAACATTCAAACGACTTTTTCTGAAAATCGGAAAGGCCTGAAGTCATGATATAAGACCGGAACCATTCTATGATGGGCCTAGAGTCATGATAGTTGGCCAGTAGCATCCTTTGATGGAGCTCGACAAAGTTTGGGAATGAAAATGACCTTGACCTAATTTTAAGGTCACATGTGTCAAATAGACTTAAACCTTCAAACGACTTCTTCTGAAGATCTGAAAGGCCTTAAGTCATGATATTTGGTCAGTAGCATCCTATGATGGAGCCCAACAAAGTTTTGGAATGAAAATGACCTTGACCTACTTTCAAGGTCACAGGGGTCGAGCATATGTAGTTTTAAACCTTCAAACGACTTGGTCTGAAGATCTGTAAGACCTAGAGTTATGATATTTGGCCAGTTTCATCGTATGATGGAGTCCGACAAAGTCTGCGAATGAAAATGACAGTGACCAATTTTTAAGGCCAAGGGCGAAAAAGGTCTTAACCTTCAAACGACTTCTTCTGAAGATCTGATTGCCCTAAAGTCATGGTATTTGTCCAGTAGCATCCTATGATGGAACCCGATGAAGTTTGCGAATGAAAATGACATTGACCGATACTTTCAAAGTCATATGTCCATCATGCGACACCATCCTTATATGTCCTTAGCTCTTGCTAAAACGGTAAACAAATAACAACAAACAAAAGCCTTCAACACAAATTCTGAATATCCGAAATGTGTCCAGTCCTGCTCCTATTCCCCCATCAGCATCCTCTGTCTGAGTTTGCACATGAATATGCCCTTGTCCTACGTACACCTTCAATGTCACAGTGGTCAAATAACTGTAAACCTTCAACCGCTTCTGAATATCCAGTCAACATAACTTCACAATATTTTGCCAACAACTCCATGTAACAAAACAAACAGGTGAGCGATACAGGCCCTTCTGGGCCTATTGTCATTATTTTGCAAACAATTCTTTCTTGATTTATAAAGGCAGATGTGATTAATGCGCTCTATGTTTTGACCAAAATACTATTCGTTTAACATACTTTTATGACGCAATTATTTTTATTGCAGTTAACATTTTGGCAGCAGTGGTAATCATATCACATATTTACATAAAAAGTATTATTTTTTTATACGCCCGTCGAAGACGGGGACGTATTATGTTATCACGTGAGCGGGCGGGCGGGCGGGCATGCGAACGATGTCCGCTCGATATCTCAAGTAATTATTAACGGATTAACTTCAAACTTCACCACAAGGTTAATTACCATGAAAGCTCGGACAAGTTCGATAACCGCCATTATCCGACCATAATTTGTGGAGTTATGCCCCTTTATGGACTTGCCGAAACAGTGTCCGCTCGATATCTCGAGTAATTATTAACGGATTAACTTCAAACTTCACAACAAGGTTAATTACCATGAAACCTCGGACAAGTTCGATAACCGCCATTATCCGACCATAATTTGTGGAGTTATGCCCCTTTATGGACTTGCCGAAACAGTGTCCGCTCGATATCTCGAGTAATTATTAACGGATTAACTTCAAACTTCACAACAAGGTTAATTACCATGAAACCTCGGACAAGTTCGATAACCGCCATTATCCGACCATAATTTGTGGAGTTATGCCCCTTTATGGACTTGCCGAAACAGTGTCCGCTCGATATCTCGAGTAATTATTAACGGATTAACTTCAAACTTCACAACAAGGTTAATTACCATGAAACCTCGGACAAGTTCGATAACCGCCATTATCCGACCATAATTTGTGGAGTTATGCCCCTTTATGGACTTGCCGAAACAGTGTCCGCTCGATATCTCGAGTAATTATTAACGGATTAACTTCAAACTTCACAACAAGGTTAATTACCATGAAACCTCGGACAAGTTCGATAACCGCCATTATCCGACCATAATTTGTGGAGTTATGCCCCTTTATGGACTTGCCGAAACAGTGTCCGCTCGATATCTCGAGTAATTATTAACGGATTAACTTCAAACTTCACAACAAGGTTAATTACCATGAAACCTCGGACAAGTTCGATAACCGCCATTATCCGACCATAATTTGTGGAGTTATGCCCCTTTATGGACTTGCCGAAACAGTGTCCGCTCGATATCTCGAGTAATTATTAACGGATTAACTTCAAACTTCACAACAAGGTTAATTACCATGAAACCTCGGACAAGTTCGATAACCGCCATTATCCGACCATAATTTGTGGAGTTATGCCCCTTTATGGACTTGCCGAAACAGTGTCCGCTCGATATCTCGAGTAATTATTAACGGATTAACTTCAAACTTCACAACAAGGTTAATTACCATGAAACCTCGGACAAGTTCGATAACCGCCATTATCCGACCATAATTTGTGGAGTTATGCCCCTTTATGGACTTGCCGAAACAGTGTCCGCTCGATATCTCGAGTAATTATTAACGGATTAACTTCAAACTTCACAACAAGGTTAATTACCATGAAACCTCGGACAAGTTCGATAACCGCCATTATCCGACCATAATTTGTGGAGTTATGCCCCTTTATGGACTTGCCGAAACAGTGTCCGCTCGATATCTCGAGTAATTATTAACGGATTAACTTCAAACTTCACAACAAGGTTAATTACCATGAAACCTCGGACAAGTTCGATAACCGCCATTATCCGACCATAATTTGTGGAGTTATGCCCCTTTATGGACTTGCCGAAACAGTGTCCGCTCGATATCTCGAGTAATTATTAACGGATTAACTTCAAACTTCACAACAAGGTTAATTACCATGAAACCTCGGACAAGTTCGATAACCGCCATTATCCGACCATAATTTGTGGAGTTATGCCCCTTTATGGACTTGCCGAAACAGTGTCCGCTCGATATCTCGAGTAATTATTAACGGATTAACTTCAAACTTCACAACAAGGTTAATTACCATGAAACCTCGGACAAGTTCGATAACCGCCATTATCCGACCATAATTTGTGGAGTTATGCCCCTTTATGGACTTGCCGAAACAGTGTCCGCTCGATATCTCGAGTAATTATTAACGGATTAACTTCAAACTTCACAACAAGGTTAATTACCATGAAACCTCGGACAAGTTCGATAACCGCCATTATCCGACCATAATTTGTGGAGTTATGCCCCTTTATGGACTTGCCGAAACAGTGTCCGCTCGATATCTCGAGTAATTATTAACGGATTAACTTCAAACTTCACAACAAGGTTAATTACCATGAAACCTCGGACAAGTTCGATAACCGCCATTATCCGACCATAATTTGTGGAGTTATGCCCCTTTATGGACTTGCCGAAACAGTGTCCGCTCGATATCTCGAGTAATTATTAACGGATTAACTTCAAACTTCACAACAAGGTTAATTACCATGAAACCTCGGACAAGTTCGATAACCGCCATTATCCGACCATAATTTGTGGAGTTATGCCCCTTTATGGACTTGCCGAAACAGTGTCCGCTCGATATCTCGAGTAATTATTAACGGATTAACTTCAAACTTTACAACAAGGTTAATTACCATGTAACCTCGGACAAGTTCGATAACCGCCATTATCCGAACATAATTTGTGGAGTTATGCCCTTTTATGGACTTGCCGAAACAGTGTCCGCTCGATATCTCAAGTAATTATTAACGGATTAACTTCAAACTTCACAACAAGGTTAATTACCATGTAACCTCGGACAAGTTCGATAACCGCCATTATCCGACCGTAATTATTGGAGTTATTCCCCTTGGTTTCATTAATGCGATGCATGTGTTCCATGATGTTGAATTGCACTCATTGATCTACCAGTTATGTTGAATTATTTCTCTTTCAATATCAATTACTCACAAATACTTCATATATTTTAATCATACAAACAACTGCTCATTCAATGTGTGACGGGCGTATTATATACCGCTTGCGGTAACCTTGTTTTATCTAGCTAACATTATTTTAAGCATCTGGATCAATAGATGCCGTTATGATTAAGGTTCTCCATCTTTTGATCATCCTTCAATGACGTTATTATATTAATTACAGTTAACGTCATGGAAGCCTATCAGTTCCGGTGCTCCCTAGTTGAGATGAGCGTGAAGGATTTCTACCTTCACTACAAGGATTCCCTCCCGAAGCTCATTATGATTACTCAGGGTTACTGTGGAGAAGTCGTGCTGGATACGTTTGACAGAGAACAGGTAGGCAAACAAATGTATGTTCAGGTACCCCGGCCTACCCTAGATTTTACCTCCGACCCTAGAAATTTTATATCTCACTCGTATTGACTTAAACGCCCCACTCGAAAGTGCCAAAAATCGGAAACGTCTTTATGGCACTTCTCTTTTTCTTGTGAAATTAACAAAATCAAATTTAAATCCTATTTTAATTTTTTAAGACCTAAAAATATAATTTAAAATTAATACAGTTGGTCTGAATAACTATTTTGGGTGATTTTTGTAATATTTGAAGTAGCCCCTTATATTAACTTTATATAAATTGAGGTCATATACAGAGTATATAACCAAGTATGCAGTATATATAACATAGTGAACAGTCAATTTGGCCCCCATAAACAGTGTATGCGTTTCTCACGTGAATTACATACTGCAGGAATCGAACACTGACTGTGCAATTGGCTATGTTACAGATACTACGTATACATACCTACTCCATCCAAAAGCGAGTTATAGCGAAGATGTGTGAAGGCTGTCACCTTCCTGGAGTAGAGGGAACGCAGCTCAGTATTCCAATCAACTATGATGCCAAGTTCTGTGTCATCAAATCTGGAGCTAAAGGTGATATAATGTCATTGCCAATGTAGTGATATATTACCATTGCCAATGTAGTGGTATAATTGCATTGCCAATGTAGTGATATGATGTCAATGCCAATGTAATGATACAATGTCAATGCCAATGTAGTGATATCATTTCATTTCCAATGTAGTGATATCATTTCATTTCCAATGTAGTGATATAATTTCATTGCCAATGTAGTGAAATAATTTCAATGCCAATGTAGTGACATACTTTCAATGCCAATCTAATGATATAATTTCATTGCCAATTTAGTGATATAATTTCATTTTCAATGTAGTGATATGATTTCATTTCCAATGTAGTGATATCATTTCATCACCAATGTAGTGATATAATTTCATTGCCAATGTAGTGATATAATTTCATTTCCAATGTAGTGATATAATTTCATTGCCAATGTAGTAATAGGATGTCCATGCCAATGTAGCGATATAATTTCAATGCCAATGTAGTGATATAATTTAAATGCCAATGTAGTGATATCATTTCATTGCCAATTTAGTGATATAATTTCATTTTCAATGTAGTGATATGATTTCATTTCCAATGTAGTGATATCATTTCATCACCAATGTAGTGATATAATTTCATTGCCAATGTAGTGATATAATTTCATTACCAATGTAGTGATATAATTTCATTGCCAATGTAGTAATAGGATGTCCATGCCAATGTAGCGATATAATTTCAATGCCAATGTAGTGATATAATTTAAATGCCAATGTAGTGATATCATTTCATTGCCAATTTAGTGATATAATTTCATTTTCAATGTAGTGATATGATTTCATTTCCAATGTAGTGATATCATTTCATCACCAATGTAGTGATATAATTTCATTGCCAATGTAGTGATATAATTTCATTTTCAATGTAGTGATATAATTTCATTGCCAATGTAGTAATAGGATGTCCATGACAATGTAGCGATATAATTTCAATGCCAATGTAGTGATTTAATTTAAATGCCAATGTAGTGATATCATTTCATTGCCAATTTAGTGATATAATTTCATTTTCAATGTAGTGATATGATTTCATTTCCAATGTAGTGATATCATTTCATCACCAATGTAGTGATATAATTTCATTGCCAATGTAGTGATATAATTTCAATGCCAATGTAGTGATATCATTTCATCACCAATGCAGTTGTAAAATAATGTTATTCAGTGACTGTTACTTTCAATTTTGACTTGTGTGTTGACACTAGGTTATATAACAGAATCACGTACATTAGCATACTCATGTTTAAGTACTTAGTGGTACACCAACTAGCGCATCCTTCTTTCTGTGAGCAAATAGAAAACGCGAAAACATGTACTTCTAAAGTTAGCACTATACGTATTCATGTAACAAATATTCGTATCTCTGAAGGTGTCTTAACAATAATAGCGCCGCTAAAATAGGTGTTAATCATAAACAATGTTTATATTTACTGTCAAGTAAAGAACTCGGATATCAAAAATGTTGGCCCGTCTGAATTCTATTATATATCAGATAACACATATTTTCCCTACATTCCCATTGGTTGGATCATAATCACGTGGCTTCGGTGATTTGTAATATTGACTCAGTGTTACTAATTTTAGGAACAACAGGTCAATATTCACTTTATGACGTCATTTTTAGTGTAACGTCATAGTGCTCTCTGCCAAATGTAGCAATGTTCATACGTTCCACATTGCTTGATGTTTAAAACAAAATTAAGCATCCAATATAGAAATTAAACACTATTACTTATCTGCATATGTGGTTATATGGACCTGAGAAGTGATATTTGCCTCAAATTCGTCTCGGTTAATGTCACTTTATCAGGTCTATATAACCACATATTAACTTCAATAAAAGTTCATAATTTGGAAGTATCGTAAACGTTGTATATCAATATGAACATGTATATATGAGCTAACAATTTTCATTTTGTTGATTGTGCTACACATATATATAGTAGGATGATAAATATATGTATGATATTGTTACATATTAATGTTATTTTGAATAACATTATGAATATACATTTGTATGTATTTTGTAAAAAAAAAATATAATGTCCTCGTCAAATAGGGAAGGTAGAGAGTTCAATGTCATATTGCTTACTAAAGGGTGTGCATAGTATTATATAATATCTAATACAACATCAATATATAAAGGTCATCGTGAATATATGTATAATTAAAAACATGTTTATAATTTCTAAATCCTTTCTTGATCGGGAAGGAGAGTTCAAAGTGACATTATTATTATATTATGTCTATAGAAATGTATGCAATATCTAAATAAAATTGGTCGGAAATAAAGTTCTAAATGACATCACAAATACATATTTGTGTTTGTGTTGCGAGATGAGTATGACATACTGTAGATTCATTTATTTTCGTGGGGTTAAACTTTCGTGGTTTTAAGGACGTTATATTTCACTGCTTTTTGGTTTTCTCCTCTCTCTATCATACCAAATGTATGTTTTCGTGTGGATTTAATTTCGTGGATTTTTGTTATCCACGAAATAAATAAATATGATTTTACAGTATAAATCCAATTGGCCACGACGAGAGATAAAATGTCGTTTTAAATATATTTAGCAAGTGTGTGTATAGAGAATATATAAAATTATGTAATATTTAAATCAAAAGGAGCTTTCAATATGACATCGTAAATATATGTATTAACAAAATAATAAAATAAAAAATATTTAAAATAATATAAATTATGTCTGCATGCAGTGGGAAAGGAGGAAACTTTGCAAGACATCGTCAATAAGCACAATTTCCCTGTAGATGTTCAGTTTGGAAAGTCCGGAGGAGATACTATAAAAGTAGGAGATACAGACAAAAGTACCCGTCAGACTGGAGGACAGACATTCAGGATCTCCCTACTAGACACTCACGAGGAATACTTCCTTCTAGGAAACGCCGTATATGGAAGTAAGGAAAAAGGCAATATCATACCTAAAGAATGCTTCTATCGAAAACACTTTACATTTCTTTATAAACCTCACCACAATGTGTAGTTTGTGCTTGCTTTACAAATTCTCAATAGCATTTAAGCATGGCTTCATATGACTACTCATATCGATTCATCATTAAAACCGTAGACAGATGCCCAAAACTCTGTCTCAGTAAAATATTAATTAATTGAAACGTGTTGGCTCCTACAACCACCGCTGAGTCAGAAAAGGACGAACCAGAAACACGTGCATGGTGCAATCTCATGTATTTTTTCATACTGTATGTATTACAAATGTTCAAAGTTGCAATCACCTGTCTGTGTTGTGATCACCAATCGTTTGGAAAAGGACCTACATCTGAGGGGTTTTATATGACTGCCACTCTTATGTTTCAGCTAACTTATACGGTAAGGTTACCGTTGTACCGGTCTATTTGCCAGACCTTCGTCTGTCTCTTATCACAGGGTTCGCAGTTCAACCTCAGGAGAGATTCGACGCCGTCTGCAGGCAAATGCAAAGTCAAGTGGTGAAAAACATCAAGTTTGAAAATGTCAAAGGAAATGAAGGTACGTCACGTGATAATATCCACAGAAATGAAGGTACGTCACATGATTATATCCACAGAAATGAAGGTACGTCACGTGATAATATCCACAGAAATGAAGGTACGTCACATGATAATATCCACAGAAATGAAGGTACGTCACATGATATCACATGATAATCTCAACAGAAATGAAGGTACGTCATATGATAATATCCACGGAAATAAAGGTACGTTACATGGTAATATCCAAGTTAATTAATATCCACGGAAATGAGTGGCAACGGAAACAAAGGTACGTCATGTGATAATATACACGGAAATGAAGGTAAGTTACATGATGTCACATGATAGTATCCACAGAATTTAAGGTACGTCACATCAAAATATCAACAGAAATTAATATTCAAGAAAATATAGATACTATCATGTGACATGAAGGTACGTATACGTAACATGATAATATACATGGAAATGATGGTACGTTACGATATCATATTTAAGGAAATGATGGTACGTCACATGGTAATATTCACGGAAATACAAGTACGTCTCTTGGTAATATCAAGGAAAATAAAGATTCGTCACATGATAATATCCACGGAAATGAAAGGTACGTCACATGATAATATCCAAGGAAATGAAGGTTCATCACATGATAATATCCAAGGAAATGAAGGTTCGTCACAAGATAATATCCATGGAAATGAAGGTTAGTCACATGATAATATCCAAAGAAATGAAGGTTCGTCACATGATAATATCCACGGAAATGAAGGTTTGTCACATGATGATATCCATGGAAATGAAGGTTTGTCACATGATGATATCCATGGAAATGAAGGTTTGTCACATGATGATATCCATGGAAATGAAGTTCGTCACATGATAATAACCAAGGAAATGAAGGTTCGTCACATGATAATATCCATGGAAATGAAGGTTCGTCACATGATAATATCCAAGGAAATGAAGGTTCGTCACATGATAATATCCACGAAAATGAAGGTTTGTCATATGATGATATCCATGGAAATGAAGGTTTGTCACATGATGATATCCATGGAAATGAAGGTTTGTCACATGATGATATCCATGGAAAGGAAGGAACGTCACAAACAAAAATCGATAATATTATTGACGCATCTGTTTCAGCAAGGAACACTTTATTATTAAGGTTGATGGTAAAAAATATACTGGTGAGATGTATTTAATATTGTGCACCATATACAGAGTATGTGTATGTTACCGTCATTTAGTTATAAGTACATATTATCCAGAATATCTTTCAGTGGAGCAGTGTAATTAAATGCTCCACGGTCCCTGTATAACAGACTGTTATATTAAAAACTTTGGAACAATTTTTATATTCATAAAAAGTCTGTGCTACAACAAAATCATTTTCTGAATAATCAAAAGGTCTACAGTCAAGACAAGCCTTTTAAACACTGAGTGAATGTTCACATTCATGGCATTTTTCAAGGTCACATGGGTCAGATATCTTAACGCCTCAGATTAAGGTCCATGGTACCTGGAGAAGTAGCATTCCAAAATATCATACTATCAAGTTTGTTTTAGTGTTATCTTGATTTCCATAAAGATTATTCAAATAAATTTAACGTTGACATACATTGTACGTTAAAGTCAGATATGAGAAATAAGTTATTCAACATCATTTAATATTGGGCGAGCGGTACAGACCCCAATGTGTTTTACATCCGTCTTTTGTAAAGTTCTAGACACCCGAATCTAGCCCCAGCTGAATACACAAAGAGCCTAGCAACACCTAGTCTAGCTCCAGCTAAATACACAAAGAGCCTAGCAACACCTAGTCTAGCTCCAGCCTAATTTGCTGTTTGTAATGTTCGCGCTTAAAAATAACTTGAACGAATACACAGGTAAATTCTCGACAACAGGGTCTGGCACATTTTCTGCCTTTGTATCAACACGATCACGCGTCTTACCTGTGCAGGTGTTTACTCAGAGAGGGTGGAACAAGAAGAGTACCTTTCTCCGCGATTATAGATAATTGTATTGCTCACCTGGTCATTTTTCCGTTCGTTCTGCTTGTTCATCTGTCAACAATTTTCTATTTCTTTTGAATTAAATTTCATCCTATTTTCTTGGAATTAGTTTAGTGGGTAGCGATTCAAAACGGATCAAATAGAGAGACTATTGTCCCGGAGAACTAAAGGGCGGGGCAGTAAAGGTGTAATCATACTTTACGCGACATTTTCTCTGGAAATATGGTACGGACATACCAAGGTGATGATATCTCAAGAATTGTTTAAGGGGGTGTCAGATCACCAGAATGTTTAGAGAGTGGGCCAGTAAATGGCAATGCCATTTTAAGTCACTTATTTTCTGGAATTATGAAATGGATACATAGTGTATCAGCCTATTTGGTTGGAAGCATCTTGCAGTAGTGATGATTCAGAATTATTCAATCAATGATGCTGATTCCAAGGGAAATATGTGTTACATAACACGCTGAATCGGCCTATTTTGTTACATATGCGGCTTGACCAAAATGGTGTCATTTGGCTTTCTCACTTTAGGCAACATTTCCTTTGGAATTATTGGTAAGAATATAAGTAATATATGATTGGAAGTGTCCTAGAGTAGAAATATAAGATGGTGAGCCCAAGTGGGCTGAAGGGCAAGGCCAAAATGTGGTAGTAGTGATGGCGGTCCTAACCCTTATTGTATATACTTAATGAGCAGGCCGAGTCTTTCAAAATTATGCTACCTATGTTAATCCCAGGTCGGGCCTCGAATCAGAGGTCTCCGTCCCTGTGGCATAGTATGGAAATGGTTCTGAGCACCCACCCTATCACTATAATATACATTTGCTTGGTATGAAAAGACGACTCAAACATGCTATTAAGATTGGCCCGAAGACTTTTCCCCGCCAATTTGAACTTTATCCTTGGGTCATGACATTCGAGATCCCCACCCTTGAAGCATATATACAATGCATTACTGAGCATGGGACCCCAAGTGCAAATTCTTGCTCCAACGCCAGAGCAAACGCTTAGTATGGGAAGACGAACTCACTTGTGTTATCAGGTTTTCTGTCGTGTTCTTCCACCCCCGGGATATCAAATTCATGAGTCGGGCATAAACGGTTGACATCACCACCCTATAACCTTAAACGAGCGTACTGGTACGAACACAGTTATGCTACAGGGATTAGTCGTGGGGTCGTACTTGTAATTTTATATTTAAAAAGAGGTCCATTGGACCTGTATCGCTCACCTGATTTTATATTTAAGTCATTACAACTGAATGCGTTAGTACATCTTTATATGAGATTTCCTCAAAACCAGACAAGATCTATGTTCTAACTCAACTGGGACCACAATATCTGACTTTCAACTAATCATAGGCCTCCAATGAGTTGCCATGTTAACAGATTTTGAAATAAGTAATATGTCATATTACAGGGTGTAATTAGACAATAGTTTAATTTTCATTCAACTATAAGCTTTATAAACCCTAATATTTTTAACAATTTATTAAAACTACACCAACAAATATGATAATCTAGCTCTACCATTTCTTAGGACCGAAGGGGTCAAATCAACCTCATTCAACTAAAAAATGTTTGTTCTTCCTCAATAATGTTTATGACCAAATTTTGTACAATCCACTCAGGCAATTAAGGGATATTAGCGTCTTAAAAAAATATCAAAATATTAGATAATTTTCCTCTTTGGGGCCCGGTCTTCCTAGTCACAGGGGTCGAACCAGTCTCATTTATTAAGGAAATGATTGCCCTCCCCCAATGAAGTTTCAGAGTAAATTTGGTTGAAATCTTCTCTGGCGTTTAGGAGGAGATGCGTTTTAAAGCAAATTTTGCTAAGTTCCCCTTCAGGGCCCCGCCGCCCTTGGCCTCAGGCGTCGGTCGAACTAACCTCATTTATTGAACAAAAGATTGGCCGCCCCTAGTGATGCTTCAGACTAAATTAGGTTAAAATCCTCACTGCTGTTTAGGAGGAGATGCGTTTTAAAGCAAACTTAGCTATGTTCCCCTTCAGTGTCCTGCCCCCCTGGCCTCAGTGGTCGAACCAACCTCATTTATTTAAGAAATGATTGCCCTTCCCTACTGATGCATCGGACTAAATTTGGTTGAAATCCTATCTGGCGTTTAGCCGGAGATGCGTTTTAAAGAAAATTTAGCTAAGTTCCTCTTCAATGCCCCGCCCCCTAGTCTCATGGGTGGAACCGACCTCATTTACTTAAGAAATGATTGCCCTTTCCTAGTGATGCTTCAGACTAAATTTGTTTAAAATCCTCACTGGCGTTAAGTAGGAGATACTTTTTAAAGCAAATTTAGTTAAGGGCCTCTTAAGGGCCCCTTAAGGGCCCCGCCTCCCTGGCCCCAGGGGTCGAACCAACCTCATTTTAGGAGGAAATAGGTTTTAAAGAAAAAGTTGACGACGGACGACGGACGCTGCGCCATGGCATAAGCTCACTCTGGTCCTTCGGACCAGGTGAGCTAATAATAATATTTCGCAATAATAGTTTAATACTAAGACACAGCTAGGCCTTTTAGTCCGTTTTATATTTAACCTTAATAAGACCGCCGTGACCGTTAATAGTTTCACCAACAAAAAAAAAGAACTGTGTTTGGAAAATGTCTTAATTGTATTTTATAATTCTGCAATTAAGTCGTGCTTTTACTCTAAATGCCAGTGGTCATATTCTACATAAATAACGTTGTTTTGCCTGAGTTACAAAACAATAACTGACTGGATGTACGACAAAAAATGTTCAGGATCTACGAAATATGTATCCTTTATTGATACCTATGTGTTATTCATTTCACAGACATTGCTGTATATTCTGGTCAAGCAACTAGTCAGGATATTTATTCGTATGCCTCGCCTGTGGAATACTGCCACATTGACGAGGGTATGGAAAAGGGAAGGAAGAAATCTAGACGTGATGATTATACAGACCTTATACCCAAGGCACAGGATGACAATGTGTATGATATCATACCACACGATACGAAACTAGAGGAGTCAGTCTACAACGAGCCGGACCCCAAAACTATGGTATCTAAAACGGCGGCTAAGGTACTGCCAAAGACTAAACTCAAACCAGTAACAATTTCGAAACCACCAGCACAAATTCCTGCTGCAACACAAAAAAAACCAGCACAAATTCCAGCTCCAATACCAAAACCCCCAGCACAAATTCCAGCTCCAATACCAAAACCACCAGCACAAATTCCTGCTCCACCACCAAAATTACCAGAACAAACGCATTCTCCCGCGCAGCCCCCTCAAGAAGACAGACAAGATGAATCTACAAAAGGTCCTCCTCCACCAGTACCAAAACGTGGGGGGAATAGCCAGTACTCTGTTCGCAAGATCGTAGCAGACTTAAATGATGTTAAAATTCAGAGTAAAGGGGATGGAAATGGTCATGAAGAGAGAGTACCTAATCTACATGTGGAACGTCAAGCAGCGCCGGAGCAAATCCAGGCAAGATGTAGTGTCACCTCTGATCAAATCAAGGTGGATAAACTAAGCGTCGATGATTTAGCCGATTGGATGGTTAAACTTAAGCTCGAGAAATATACGGAAGACTTCAAAGAAAAATTGATCGACGGAACAATACTTCTTGAATTAGACAATGCTCTTCTTAAAGAGGAATTTGGTATGAAAGGTTTTGAGGCTATAAAATTGATGAAGTTTGCAAAAGAGGGTCATGTTCCGAAGACACGGGAAACGTGATTTATAGTATAGAGAATGTAATTCCTGATAAAAACGGTTTGATTATTTTTGACATACTGTATGACAGTATGTACAAGTGTCAGTCAATCAGAGAAGAAGACTGAATACGCTCGTGGTTCGTGGTCTCTGCTAATAGGAAATGTCAGATAACCCCTGTTTTCAATTAATCCTGACAAGAAGACAATTCATATTGTATTCAAAACTGATATTACGCGACTTTTTTTTTCTCACACTGAAGTCCCGGGTTAAACATGTCGCAACTAGTTGTGAACAAATATATTTGCGCACGTTGTGTGAAGTTAAGACTGCACCAGTTCAAAGAAATTCATTCTTGGTTATATGAATATTTACTTTGCTGTAGCGTGATAAGGCCATGTAAATAAGCTAGTATGTAAGTTTTGTGATATATATAGTATACTAAACATATGTGTTAGTATTTTATTCTATTTGATATGGATAAGCTGATGTGTAAGTATTGTGTATATATGTTATAAATACATGGTATAAATAAGCTGGTGTGTTAGTATTGTGTATAAATGTTATAAATATATGGTATAAATAAGCTAATGTGTAAGTATTGTGTTATATTCGGTAGAAATAAGCTGGTGTGTAAGAATTCTGTTATATATATGGTATAAATGATCTCATGTGTTAGTATTGTGTTGAATTTGTTATAAATAAGCTGATGTGTTAGTATTGTGTTGAATTTGTTATAAATAAGCTGGTGTGTTAGTATTTTGTTATATATATGGTATAAATAATCATATGTGAGTATTTTATATGGTATAAATAAGCTGGTGTGTTAGTATTTTGTTATATATAAAATAAAGAAGCTGATGTGTTAGCTTTGTGTTATATTCATGATAAAAAAACTGATGTGTAAGTATTGTGCTAAATTTGTTATAAATAAGCTGGTGTGTTAGTATTCTGTTATATATGGTATACATGATCTGCTGTGTTTGTATTTTGTTACATTTGGTATGAATAAGCTGATGTGTAAGAAATTTAGTATTTTATCTCATTTTGTATAAATAGCTTGGTGTTAGTATCGTATCTTATTTAGTACAAATAGGCGGACGTGTTAGTATTGTATCTTATTTAGTATAAATAGGCGGACGTGTTAGTATTGTGTATATTTGGTATAAAGAGCTTATGTGTAAGTAGTGCAATACATATACTTATGTAGCATGATCATTCGCTTATTTATCAACGAGTTGTTTGTTTTTCTATGAAATATTACAAGAAGACATCAGAAGTAAGAACAACCGTTTGCTGGACACTTAACTTCGTTTCATTGATGTTGTATTTTTTCATGGTATCAAGTGTCTAGAATAACAGAGATTTTGTGGGTTCCCTTATTTTTGTAAATATTTACAAAATGTAAAAAAAAATGTGGGTTCTTTGGGGTTTTGAGACTACACGTTACACACAGTCCATTGCCTGTTGTGTTCATGTTGTGTGAGTTTAGGGAATTTCCCTTTAGCTCAGTGGTAGAGCGTCCGACCAGGAAGTCTAGGATCGCGGGTTCGATCCCGGTGGAAGCACACTACTCCTTTTCCGGTTCAGTATTAATGTTTGTATTTTTGACATTGCACTTCTTACCGATATAACTGTGTTATTATGTTTATTACGTGATGTTATGGGGTGTAAGATAGTTTTTAAACAAGCGTTTTGTTTATGCCTTCTATTATTCTTTATACCAATTGTCTTAATGGACCCAATACAAAACCGATTATGTCACATGCTCCTGTACGGTACATGTTTCCTGAACCACATGTGGCACTTGTCTCGTGTTAATTAAAAAAAAAAAATGTATATATACATGTAGATAATAAATAAGCAAGTCATTGTGAAGAAAAATAATGAATAAAATAATTAATATTTAAGATCTACCGCTAGTCTTTTCTGACTTTTAGGGCTCTTCAGGCCTTGAAAAAGACCTCCAAGGCAGAAAGGCCTAGCGGTAGATTTTACATACTTACTTGTTTTATTCTATATAGATGCATATACATTATGTTTATTAACTATATATGTTGCTGCATAACATGTTTTATTAAAGTTTTTTCTCGTGATAGCGTGGTAAAACACTATTCATTATAGATATATAAATGTATATGCTTTATGTCAATTGCAATTATAATAAACAATATTTAACCTAAACTAATCTAAGAGTGCCATTGTATAAAATGGAGTTTCACTAGTTAAAATATGATGTAATATTTTCTCTTTCGGGCTTTTGTCAACACAAGTGAAGTTAAACCATCGTGGTTTTTGTTAAAAATAGATCATTTTATATTGTATTTGCTTATAGGGATTGCGTTATTCATTAATCAAGATTTTTGTATAGTTGATAGTGCAGGTTAAATGCTTTCAATTGGGATTAAAAACAAATCTGGTTTTGAGATTTTCCCCAGTGCCAATGCGCTTTTCATACCCAGCCAGACCCATACTCGTTGCCAAGCAAGGACAAATTAAAAAGTCGCCGCTTCCTTAGAAAAGAAAGCCGGAAGAGAGAGTCACTTGGGAATATCTCAAAACCAGAAATATTTTTTAATCTCAACTGAAAGCTTTTTAGCTTGCACTGTCAGCTTTTAGATGCAATATGGTAAACTTCAATATGTTGGAATATTTGCCGGTTCATTCTGCAAATGCAGTAATTTCCATTCATATGACATTCTGTGTCAACGTTTCTTTATACTCATTAAAGCAAATTAATCAACTGTATGTTGTATGTGATGTTTGTTCTACCGGGATAGACACGATTAGCTGGTGTAGTATACCCTCTCTTCTGTTCCCAACTGCCTACTTTCATCTTATCTTTCCTTGTTGCCACTTCGGTAATCTCGTGTTAAGTTTCTGTTAAGCAACCATGGAAAAACATTTTCCGTTTAATCTGACGTCATTTCCTTTGTTTAGTAGGAGCGTTTATGAATACAACGTTGGATAACAACAACGATAATCAGCGACATTAGGTATGCAACTTAAATCACTTGATTCTAATTTGTTGTTACAAATATAACGATAACAACCTAAACAGCGCTTCAGAGCAGTTTATTTATATAATATATGACCAATAGTAAATACTCGATTTTGACAAATTTCGAGGCAGAGTTAAAAACGTTAATATTCATACGTAACATATTTTCATTCAAATGTGTACTATTCAGACTAGAAACGTAAACATGTTTTGTATTTCTAATATTCCAAATGTAATTGAAAATAATTTGTTGTTTACCTACGAATATGTTTTGATGTCAGAAAAGTAATATTTTTGTAACAAATATTTTTTGTTGTCATATACATGTGTAACTATTAATAGAAATGTTTGCGCTTGATATACGTTACAAGTCAATGTAGATTTCAGTGCCGTATAAACCCTGCAGGTCGAGTGCTAAAACAACTCATAAACCATTATGTAATTTCAATGTAGACGCATGTCACTATAATAAAATATAATGTTTTGTGTATATCGTACATAGAGATGGATAAATGGAGATAATAACATACATTTAGTATATATGCTACGTTAATATTCAAACAAAGTAAACATATGCGTTGTGTGCATTAAGTTAAGTTATATATCATTTCTTCATATTCTGGTTAAAATTGTCTAGCTCTAAATATGTCTCTGTTGAACAAATAAACTCAGCCAGCCATGTAAAAATAATAATTTTTATATACCACTTTATCACAGTCTAGTTCGTAGGTCGTCTCAAAGCGGTTTACAAATTATTAACCGGCGCTCACAGCCAGCATTCAACAATTCTAGCACTGCCCAACCACGTACTCATTTACAGCTGAGTAGACTGGAACAAGCGGAGTAAAGTATATTGCTCAAAGATACAACATAGTGCCGCGACGTGAGGTCATTAAGATGGCATCTAAGCTTAAATTCACCACAGCCCTGGAGTTGCAAGCACGCATTGTCTAGTGTCTCCTTTTCTCCTTTGTCTCTACTCGAGTGCTAGATTTGTTACCTCTGAAGTACAGAGTGGATACATATAAAATATATACATAAAATTTAGCATTGCCGAAATAAGTTTTAGAAAGCAATTTCCCTGTTACATGAAAATGCAGCAGACTGTATGACAAACAGGGGGAAACAACAAAATGATGATAACCCCTTTCTATATATAGGATATAGGTGAATTGACAGACGAGGCTAGTACCTGTGATATAGGTGTATTGACAGACGAGGCTAGTGTCTTTGATATAGGTGTATTGACAGACGAGGCTAGTACCTGTGATATAGGAGTATTGACAGACGAGGCTAGTACCTGTGGTATAGGTGAATTGACAGACGAGGCTAGTACGTGTGATATAGGTGTATTGACAGACGAGGCAAGTACCTGTGATATAGGTGAATTGACAGACGAGGCTAGTACCTGTGGTATAGGTGAATTGACAGACGAGGCTAGTACCTGTGATATAGGTGTATTGACAGGCGAGGCTAGTACCTGTGGTTCAAACTCATATGCTGTGAACAAGCCCAGTTTTTTGTTCCAATAATAATTGAAATAATATTCATATTTTGTCAAGGACTTGGAGGAATTAGGGAGAGACTTAAGGCCTATTACTTAATTAGATATTTACACTTGAACTTTTGATTAGTTGACATGATTTACGCAAGTCAGAAGAAAATTAGTTTGAGCACAAAATCCATGCTTGAGCAGGAAACAGTTTCGCGAATGGTAGTAGGGCCTGTAGTCATGAAACCGTTCTCATGCTCAATTATAGATTCCGTACTCAACCCTTTCGTGTGACTCGCTTAAAGCATGTGAAACGAGAACACTGATATGTGTAACATTTAACATTTAAAACAGTATTCAGCTTGAAGTCTCTCCAGAATTCTTCCAAACCATTGACCAAATATTAAGTTTATTTTTATTTATCACCGGAACAAGAAATTGGGCTTGAACACAGAATCTGATTTTAAACATGAGAACGGTCTCATGAACATGAAGGTCCAGGTTTTGGTATGTATAAACAGATTGTTTTACTACTCGACGACTTTGCAGGAAGCGGAAAAGATCCACCGCGTCGATCTTAACGTGAATATACCTTTGTATAAACACACATTGCTTTACTGCGAGATTTCTTGGCAGGTGGCGATAGAGGCACATGCCTTGTTGTATCCACATCCAGTAGAACTCCATGGTTTCAGACAAACGAAACAGAATTCGTGTTTACATTTACAAGGCATCCTCTTACACCCCCTCTCGTGCTCCACCAGCGCGTGACAGCCTGGGCATGCGCGGACAGCCGGAACATTTTTGTATTGGTCAATCGTCTTCTTCGCGCATGTCCTCAGGATTTCCTGTGACATCAGAGCCCCCTTGGCAGTCGTACATTCCAAGTTTCCGCAAAAATCCCCATTTGCTGAAACCTTCCAAGGATGCAAACATTGCCAACAGAATTCGGAATTGTCCGGATTGGTCTGCTGGCAGTTTATACATACGACTCTGTTGTTGTTCTCGCTGGCTCGGGCGGATAGACACCGACAAAACGGACATTCCTGTACATCCTTCCGTTTCTGTAAACTGTTCTTGCTCAGACGCATCTCAAACAGGACCCGTTCGTCCGTTGATAGCTGTGCTTTTACTGTCAGTTCGTAAAGGGTCCAGATGGCATCGCATGTCGTCTGCTTACCTCTTACGTTAAAGGTGTCAATCGCAGAGCATTGAAACTGTACAGCTCCATCCTTTAAACTGTTCCAGCACAGATCGTACAGGTTGTCAGGAACTGTAAAATTCAAAGTTTTTGATTACAAACGCCTATAACGAAAGTATGTCAACAATGTTAAATGGTAACCTATATGCTGTTTTACTACAATAAACCTTTTGTATGAGGTAATACAGTTTGAGATATTTTGCTTATTTTTATATACCGACCTGCAGGTCGGGGATTCAGAAAAAAGCTCACTGTCTTGTCACCAACCGCATGAGCAGATAAGAGGAGACTAATGTGGAGAACATGCAGATTTGAGATTGTTTGCTTTTGTGCCTTTTAAAAACTGAACAAGGGTTAAACGCCCTAATTCGATTACATAATAGCAGAAACAAGAGCACAACATGAACAAAAAATGAATTTCAGACAATTGAGAAAAGAACGACGATAATTAGACCAGGTGTTCCAGAAGAGAAAGCATCTTCCGCTTCATCAACGACACCCGCCATGTAAATATAAGTCAAATCATAGTGTCGGGATGTTCTGAAGAAGAAGAAGAAGAAGAAGAAGAAGATTTAAACACTTCACCTATTGCATGTCCACATGACATGTAAGTCCTGTCGTCCTCTTCGAAGTCCATGATCATGTCCTTGGCCGAAGTGACCAAATGGCCATACACCGGCCGTGTCTCCGGGTGGACAACGATACGTAATGGATTCCCTAGGTCAGTGTTGGCGGTCAGTGGATGTTGATTCTCATACACCAAGGCTTCGGCCATTTTTACGATGTCAAATCTTTCCACCGGGAGACGAAGTTCTGCGGAGAGTATCTTTTCTAGCTCAACGACAGATTTTATCTACAATATCAAAAGCGATGTCATCGTGACAAAGATATTCGAGGTTTCCCAAAATTTGTTATTAACTTACTTTATTATTTTCACATTTTTATTGGAATTTTCTGGGACTTATTATAGAACAATTGCATACCGAAAGATACATTTCTATTTAATAATACTTTCCATACATTTATGCTAAGTGGTTTTCGAAGTGTGGCAAGCTTTTCAGATGAAATCAATTTTACTACGACATTTTGTTCAATGTAATACAAAATAATGTGGATAAAAATAATTTCTGAAATTAACTTTTTTTTGCAAAACATTCTACGGAAAAAAAAATATCAAAATATTGTCAGATAAAACATAACTTAATTCTCTGTCAGAATGTTTAATTTCATTTCAGTGGAACAATAACAGGTTCCATGAAAAGTTAATGAAAAGTGATAGAAATTATGCATACAATATGGAGTAAATCCGGGCAAATCGCGAATTCCTATGTTCACGATGCTGTAGTTAGGTCTTAACATCGACACACGACATTTCTTGATAAATTCTGCACAACACAATAACACAGTCACGTTTATTATGATCATGGTCTGGCGACTGAATACACCCAAAGGCAGACTTAACAATTACCACGTGAAATTCCTACATGTTAAGGACAACGCAATTGTCAATTGATTTTCGCTATAAAAACTTACTTCGAAAATATGAACTGAATTCAATCTGGGACAGATTGTGTCGACAATATTAGATAACATATTCTTTTGTTGTAGTGCAATACATACACTGAAATACCTAAAGACCCATAAAAGTGTTTACATAAAATAGCAAATATTTTTATATCTAGGCGGGTTGGAGCTATACGGACCAATTAAGTGTTACTCTTTAAAATGTACTCATGCTTGTTTTCGGTTTGTATGTACAAAGCACTATACTTCTATCATGTCGAAATATTTCCAACTTTTATTAACTTTTTACTTTCGTTTTACACCGTATAAGACAGTTCTAAGAACAAGCATGAGACCAACAGGATTACAAAACACGCAGCAATTCGTAATACGTAGTTATATATCTAAAAAAAAAAAAAAGATGATATCAAATCTTCGGAATGAAATATTTTTTTTGAATTCCTTCAGCTCCGTTTAAGATATATGTACATAGTCAATATTTACCTTACGTCGGTCCAGCTTAATAGATCGCTCATACTTCCTGTCCCCGGATAATGTCTCGATGCAGATCTCTGTTGCCATATCAAAATATCTTCTTTTAATTTCTAATACACTTCCTGCTGCGAAACCTTGACAATACCTGCCTAGCTAAGTGTGGGCGTTTTCTTAATCGTCATGATTTCGTGTCGATATTTATACCGGATACCGACACAAAATGGGGAAACCAGTCTACTTTCACTTTCGGTTTTACGACACTACGTTTGATGCATAAGTGAAATCAGTCGATGGCGATATGACGAGATGGTTGATGTTTTGTATTAGATATGCTCAGTTCCGGTAATCATGCACGTCAGTCCTGCAACTTGATCGAGTAAGTAGTAGCCTTGCTCAAGTTCGGTTTTTATACAAGGAAAGAATGTGCCCAGGCACTTAAGCACCTGTGTTACACGTCATAGATCCTGCATGTCAAAAAAACGTACTAAAGTGTAACAAGCTTAAACATATACTGTCAGATCTAAAATTTGAACGAGATCAGAGAACAATGAAACTGTTTTTAGAAAGTTTATCTTATCGGAATCATATTATGAAAAACAATATTTCGATAGAGCAAACATTTCTTTTTCATTTGATATCGGGTTTTTTATAACATTCGTTTAAGCCATTTTCCCTGCGAGAGTTTTATTTATTTTAATGCGCAGAATTATCGGCTAGCGGTGCATACTATACTGCATTCCATTATGATAATTAGTATTAAGGTATAATATTCAAAAATAATCAGTTCAATGCTTTCATAATGTTTCGTGTTTTTAATAACAACTGTATGAACAATAATAAAGACAATGAGTGTAGCAATATAGGTGTCTTTAACAAGTCAGAACCCCGTAAAAGCTAAATAATCATTTTTTATTTTTATATAAATCAACCTTTTCTTCAGGTATCTACAATATTTCCATTTATTTCTTGTTTATGGTTTTATGTTAGTGTTGGCCTTCTCAAAACATTCATACACATTTCTTTATTAAGCCTCAGAGTTGGTACGTGAAAAACATACCAAATCGTCCCATGCAGGTCGGGGATCGAGAAAAGAGATTGATCGTAAAAGGCGGCTAATGTGGAAACCCCATGCGGAATTGGGGTTTTGCTTTTGTGTCCTCTATTTGGGGACACAAAAGCGACCAAAATAAATCTGCTGCACCCATTGCAATATTTGGGATCTGTATGTTTCTCTTTACTTCTAACTAATTATTGTTTCCTAGCGCCTTGCTTGGCAGTGCCTCACGTTTTGCTTTAGTGTTGAGCGTTCGCCCAGGTGAGGAAGGCAGTGGGTTCCGTACCCAGACCGGGACATACCAAGACCTTAAAAATGGCAGTTGTTATTCCCTGTTAAGCGTTTAGCATTAAGGGTAATGACAACAACTGGTTCCCCGTTGTCAGTATAATGTGCCTGGCGAAATGCTTTGCTAGTATCGGCATGGTATTTCAGTGAGATAGCACTATAAAGTCGGCATCAGATCCGCGCTGTCACAAGGAGGCAACACACCAACATACCTTGTCTCCGGCACACATACCAACATGCACGCATACACACCACACATGGAGGCATGACCTTAGCTGTTGATAGAACGTTAAACAAAATAAAAACAAAAACAAACACACCAAATCTGGTACGTTAAATATATATTACCAAGCATCACGGAATATGTTTAAACGGAACTGAGTTCAATACTATCATAAATGTTAGAAATATGCATAGTTATCTTACGGTTTTATTTATTTCTTAGTACAGTAAACACATTTATGTAAATTTCATAATGCATACATATATTAGTGTTGTTTTATTTCGTTGGTTTTGACATGAAAATTGATATGAATAGAATATATTTCTGGGGTTTTTCGTTTCGTGACAAGATTATTAATTCAACACACATAATGAAAACGGAAGAAACAATACAACGTTTACTACATATAAGATTATATGACGGAAAATGCATATATGTCGGCCACAAATATGGACCATATTATACACATTAAGCATATCAAAGCTATGAAAGATCACACACAAATAGCACAGGGGCATGACAATAAAATAAAGCACGGTGTCGGAATGTATGAACTTCTCCACCGATATGAAAATATCATTAAAGTGTCACCACGAAACGATATAAAACATCTAAATATACTAGTCACTACAAACCAGGTCCTCACATAAAGTGTCTTAATTCTCAAGTTCCTGTGAACAATATAGTAACAAACTATATCGTACATCATAAATACAAAGTCCTTTGTCATAGGAGTACCATAAACTTGTATATAAGCAAAGTCTTGTGACAAGTGTTCGCTATCTTGGTAAGTAGGTATTCACTAGTTTACCACCACGCTACGAGGGCCAAACATACTGGTACAACTATGCATTCACACAACATTATTTTCTCGTTTATGTCCGGGCCCTAAGGGAAAGAGGTTGTCAGGTAGTATAATATTGAAACAGACTCTAGCACAAACTAACACAAGAAACTCCAAGCTTTATTTGGGAAGTTTCGCATTTACAACGTTCCCGTCTATCATACGCGCCGTTATATCGTTTGACACTTTGCAGGGTCACAGTTGTTTCCGTAATCGCATCCCCCGCTAACGCCTTTCTGTTTCCAGGGCCTCAAACAAATAAAGCAAAATATGTGCTTGCATTTACAGGTCATCTGCTTACAACCGGAAGTGTGCTCAACAAGAACACTACAACTTGGACATGCGCGGACAGTTGGTGAAGTTCTCTTGAAGTCACCCATGACCTTAGAAACGCACGTTGTCAAGATTGCCTGTGTAGCTTTAGGTCCACTGGCAGTGGAACACGATAAATTACCGCAGTAGTTCGAGTTCGTGGTTAACCATGGACGCAGACATTGCCAACAGAATTCGGCATTTTCCGGATTTGTTTGGCAACAGTTTATGCACCTGACCCTGTCGTTTTTGACATTTTCACGAACAGCGAGCGAACGGCAGAACGGGCATTCTTGAACGTCCTTCATTTTGATCAAGCTATTCTTGCTAAGCTTCATCTCAAATAAGATGCGCTCGTCTTGAGATAACTGTGCCTTTACCGTGAGTTCATACAGAGTCCAGATGGCGCCACAGGTTGTCTGAGTGCCCCGAACTCTGAACTCATCCATGGCAGGACATTTGAACTCCAGATCCCCTTGTTGAAGTTGGTTCCAACAGTATTCATACAGGGTAGCTGGCGCTGGAAATATATAAATTCGTCTTAATTATATGATTCTGTCATAAAACTTTATAAAAGTATACCATGTTGGTCTCAGAGATATAAAGGTCACCTGAAGCGCGCAGAGGGCGATCCGGGCCAAGTGTGAGAGAAAAGAAGAAGCTGTGGAAAAGACAGAAAAGAAGTGATTACGTGGAGTCAGCGGAGATGACTGGAGGAGGCATGAAAAAGAAACGTAGAGAATAGAAGAATTGTGAGAGATTAATTTTCGAAAGCAGTTCATAGATTGACAAAGAGGGAGGCACAAAGATGAGAGCAATATGGAAAAGCAGAACGAAAGTAAATAAGAGAAAGAGCAGGGAAGAGATAGAAAGAAGAGGAGGAGATAATTTGAAGTAAGGAAGAAGGGAGGGATACAGGAAGGGGGTGAGGAAGGAGGGAAGGAAAGAAAAAATGTCAGAAGTTAAGGATGGAGGAGGGAACGGGAAAATATGGTAACAAAATTATTATATCGTTTATACATACACTTACCGATACCGTGGCCACACGACATAACGGTCCTTTGGTCATCCTCATATTCCCCATTAACCATGTCTGTTTCAGTGGTCATCAGATGGTCAAAGATAGGACGAGAAGGCGGATGAATGACCAGAACAATTTTGGACGACCAGACACTTCTGGTCAGTAACTCTTCATCATTGCACAGTAGAGCTTCGGACATTTTGATGACGTCAAATCGATCACGTGGTAAACCCAGTGGACCTACTAGGGCTACTTTAAGGTCGCCGATTGTTCTTAACTGCAAGAAAAGGTTAAAGTACAAACAAAATTATCCGTATGAATTTGATACCTAAATAACATAAGGCCATAAAACTATATGTGTGTTTCCGGTTTCCCTACCGACCCTATTTTTTGGTGCCTACCCTAAAGTTTTATTGTCATTTAGTGATAAGCACTGCTAAAATCAGAACTCCTGCTCTATATCAGCTGAGTCAACAGTTTTTTTAATGCCTACCTTCCGACGCATTTTTGCAAGCAGAAACAGGAAACATATTCTCTTTTTTGCCCTAAGTGTCGGTATACGCGTTCCATTTTACATGTTAACTAGAGTTTAAAAACGTTGTATTGCCAACATTGGAATAGTGATAGAGAGGAGAGGGGAAAAAGGGAAGTGCAGGGGTTATCGAGAATGGGCAAAACAGGAGGAGGAATTAGATGGAAGTATAATTGAAGAGTGGGAACAAACTGGGATAACCAGAAATGAATTGAGACGGACAGATGAAGAAGAAATGAAGATTACATCGTTACTGTGTATTGGTCAATCAGAAAGTAGAATGAGGAGAGTGGTAATAGAGAGGAAGGAGGAGGGGTGTGTTGATTGGTGTAAGGATGGAAGAACGGTTCCATTACTAAATGTGAGGAGGAGTGATGGAGGATAGTACGTGGTTGGTAGCGGTTAAGTAAAGGTTTGTTTGAAATAAATGTTTGTTCGGGGTTTAACGTCCTCGCAACGGCCAGGGTCATAGGAGGACGGGTGCTTAGGGAGACACAACGGCCAGGGTCATAGGAGGACGGGTGCTTAGGGAGACACCGCCGGTAAGAGAAAGTAGACAAACAAGATAGGACACGAAACATATTCCAAGTGTTGTAATTGGGGCAGCAGATTAAGTTGAGTCTCTTCCATGTCCCCTTCGAAGTAGACACGGTAGAAAGTCCTCGATTATGCCACCCCTGCATGTCGGGGATCGAGAAAATGTATCGTAAGAGGCGACTAATATGGGAACCCCCTGCATAATTGGGGATTTGCTTTTATGCCCTCTATTAGGGGACACAAAAGCGACCATTTATTTCTACTTCTAACTATCTTTTATTTCCTATCGCTTTGCTTGGCAACGCCTCCCTTGTGGCTTTCATGTTGTACGTTTGTGCCGTGTAAGGAAAGCAATAGGTTCTTTCCCCAGACCTGGACATACCAATGTCCTTAAAAATGGTAGTTGCTTTTCCCTGCTTAACGTTCAGCTGTCAGTATAATGTGACCGGGCGAAATGCTGTGCTGGGTGCCTTCGACTTGGTATTTCAGTGAGGTATCACTATAAAGTAGGCATCAGATCCGCACTATCATAAGGAGGCCATTACACTAACATACCCTGTCTCTAGCAAACATACACGCATGTAAGCATCCACAACATACAGGGAGGCACGTCCTTAAATGACCTAAGTTGTTAGTAGGACGTTAAACAAAATAAAGCCAACCAAACCTCGATTATGCAGGATCCCCAATATTGGTCACCTTTTACAGTACGATATCGAACAGCGGGATACAGCCGGTTTACTCTTTGTTTCTTCAATGTCCCCTAAACAGAAGACAGGGGGGGGGGTCTATTTTAACAAAAGAATCTGTGTTAAGAAATGTGATGGGAAAAGGATGTTGTCACACCGTACCATTAATATTTTCCCAATTATATGTGAAAATCCAAGATGACCGCCTGCCTGCAATTTTGTTTATCTGATCAGTCTAATAAATAATCACAACTAAAGACCTAGGGGAACATACATATAAGATTTGAGAAAGATACCTCCACTACTATTTGAGAAACAGCGATAACAAACATTCACTTTCAAAATCGAAGATGGCTGCCTGTCGGCCATGTTGTTTATCTGATAATTCACAAAATTAAACTTGCACAACTATAGACCAAGTGAAACCTATATATAAAGTTTGAGAAAGATCCCTCCAGTATTTACTGAAAAATGGTGATAACAAACCTTTAATGTCACAATCCAAGATGGTGGCCTTTCGGCCATTTTCTAAATTCGATCAGTCTCACAATTAAACATGCACAATTACAGACCAAGGGAAACCTACATATGCAATTATCCATTACTTCCTGAGAAATAGCCATAACAAACCTTCACTGTCAAAATCCAAGATGGCTGCCTGTCGGCCATGTTGTTTTTCCGATCAGTCTCAAAAGTTGCCCTGCACAACTAGGGACCAAGGGGAACCTACATGTAAAATTTGATAAAAGATCCCTCTGGTACTTCTTGAGAAATAGCGATAACAGGAATTGTTTAAGGACGGACCACGGACCACGAACGTAGGGCGATTTGAATAGCCCACCATCAGATGATGGTGGGCTAAAAAGAGGTAGACAGACAAAACTTGTTTCCATTAAAAATATGAAAAGTGTTTCGTTTAGGGTATCCCATGTTAATTTGAAATGTCTATTGAGGGGAAAAGGGTGGCGGAGGACGTGAAATTGAGGAAAGATAACCAAAGAAATTTATTATAGACAAGAAATATAGAATATTATAACATGTGTTATCATAACCTTTCATAAGCTTTTTAAAGACTTGTATTTCTTAGCAGAGGTATTGAAAATTTAAGTCGTTCAAATCTGATCACTAAGGTAAATAGTGAAAAAGATCTGGGAGTTCACATCGACGAAAAACTCAATTTTTCCATACACGTCCGAAAAGCAGCCAGTAAATTAAAAGCAAACCAAATTGCAGGAATAGTATTTAAAATTTTCACATATATGAGCCCAACCATATTTGTAACACTCTACAAAGCTCTTATACGACTCCACCTCGAATACGCTTCAACGATATGGTCAGCCCTGTATACCAAGGACAAAAGTACAGTTGAAAAAGTCCAGCGAAGAGCAACGAAAAGATTACCAACATTAACTGATATATCATACACTGAACGCTTAAGAATACTCGGTCTACCAACCCTGGAATACAGGAGGGAGAGAGCAGACATGGTCAAAGAGTACAGAATCCTTAATAACATCGACAAACTTGATAAGGATAAACTATTCCAACACTGCGAATACAGATCTAAAAGGGGGCACTCCAAGAAGCTGTTTAACAGGCCCTAAAAAAACTGATCACAGGAACCTCTTCAGTAATCGCATTATTAAACCGTGGAACTCGTTGCCTGAGAAAGTGGTCTCAGCACCGAGCCTAAACTGCTTCAAGGAAAGACTAAACTAGCGCAGGAAAAATCACCCGAAGAAATTTAACCCATCATTTTGGTATTAAGATTGGATCTACCATTCCAATACCATACTAAGCATCATGTGACTCAACTAAAAAAAAAATAGGGATTAAGTTTTTATGCAAATTTTACAACGGAGGGGCTCAACCCTTTTTATCTACACGTATGGGTACAAACGAGTGGAATTGTTTTTAAAATTGTAAATCACATTATTACTATAGACATAGCTACACTACTATGATTAGGGAAATAACAAGTGCGCAACCGGAAAAGTAAGTCGCGAGTGAATGAAATAACAATGATGCATCACCACAAGCTTGAACTAGCTTTCAACGATGCCACATCAGCAATTGCGCGATTCGGTTAAGCTACAACATCGCCATCTTTAAGTCTATGACGTCATGCCTAAATTTTGACAGATGTGTCAACAATCAGAATAGTGTACCATAATTTTACCAGCTATTCAACATGAAATAAAGCCTATATTGCTTACTTTGTTCGTTTGTAGTCCGATACGTCTTTCAAACTGGTGATCTCCCGATAAATTTCCTATACTTATGTGGGTAGCCATGGTTAGCTCAGTATTATCCTTCTGGATCAGTGAACGCTTGGCTGTAATGCTCTTTCCAATCAGAGGACGAACCGAAGGATTTCCCTAAACTGTCCCAATATGCTATACTAAGTAATTAAATAACATCGTTCTACTTTCATTTTTACTTTCTCGTCAATATAAGAGGAATTTCCGAATAAGAACGTGGGGATTCTCAGTCCCTATTTCCGGTTTAGGTATACTTTGCATATGATTATACTGCATGGTCTATTATTGGACGATAGCAATTTAACAAGTTTACTGAGCGAACTTTGACATAATACTAAAATGAAACAAAGAGTGCCAATGTAAGTCATGGTACAAATATATTAGTATGAATTATAAATGACAAAACAGATGTATTATATCCATAATTAAACCCGATTATGAGAAATAATTTACACATAAAGACATCATACTAAAGGTTGCCGATGAAGCACCAATTAAAGTATTTATAGAATTTCAGGCTTTGAGTTACTTCCCTTATTGGATNTGTTCGTGTACAGCTGGGTAATTATCCAGTTTGTGTTCGTCGAGTTCCGTTTTTCTTTTCTTTTTTAATTAAACGGTTGTTCAAAATAGCATGCAGTGATGTACGTTAGTTTCCTTGTTTAGGCGTTTTTTTAAACAGTGGTATCCGCGGCTCCACACTTGCCAACTCTCCCTATTTAGGAGGGAGACTCACGATTTTAACCTTGAAATTGAGCAATTTCTACTAGTGAATTTGCTAAAATTTCATGTGAAAGAACAGCTCAAAAGATGCCATTTCCTTAGGGTGTACAGTACATACATACATTTGTTTTAATCTCCCCCATGGATATTTTAAAAAGTTGGCAAGTATGACAAGCTGGTGTTAAACTGTTTATGTGTGTTCTTGCCTATAGCAATATGAGCATATATGAATCCCCTATATATATGTGTGTACCCTAAACTACAGACTGTAGTGTAGGCCTAATGTACATGGCAGTCAACGAGTCATTTAAAATGTTAATATTATACATTTAACAAAAGGTGGACATTGATAACGTTAACAGTCATCTCCGACATCTGTTACTGTACTATGTGATTAAATCCTAATAAAAACAAGGGAGTAGGCCCTATTCGAAACATTTGTTACTAAAGGTACTATTTAAAGTGAACAAATAAAAAGTCTAAAACATTACAGTCATATTATTTATATTTAATTATTCTATTAATGCACTCATCCAAGTTCTGCAAATGAAGTGAATAGCAGCTTACATAAAGGCATAACATAGACATTTATCCCAGGGGTCCTCCCTTCCCTCTCCTTTGTCCTTTTTTAAGGACAACGCATTAATTTTGTGTTGATAACAAAGCATCAGTACATTATTACCCCATGCCACACTCCCAAAATTATATAGTATTACCCTTCCCACATTATTCAATATCTAAGAGTGTCAAGATCTGATGAGCAGCAGGCCAAGTTTACGAGTTTATTCCATCTGCGCCAGGGACTTGCGAACTTACAACGTTTCACGTCATGCACGAGGTTCGCATCCTGTTCTGCAAATCACGTGTTGCCATTGAATTAAACCAACCCCATTTATGATTACATAGCTTTCATATTACCCACAAATATATTCGAGGCACTAGCATCATTATAATTAGCACAAGTGTTTAGAAAAAATTTAACAATTAAAAATGTTATGTTTCTTCTTTAAATTTTACTTTTTGTCTTCATTATATTCAGGTTTATTAATGCCAAATTTATTTCATTAACCACTAACCCAACTAGTGGTTGTCAAACCAAAGGATAATCACAAAAAGCTGCCAATCATACCACAAGTTGTCAATCAGACAGGTACAGATCAATGGCTGTTTTACAAAATATACAAATAAGAAATTCAGTGCCTTACATGTATATATATATATATATTTAGTTGAAATTTAAATTTTACCAGGATAAAAATAATGCTATAAGTAATCAGAGCTACATGTAAAGTATTTAAAGTATTATCTATACCTCCATTCAAATCATCACCTGTGTATCTTAAGAACAAATTTAAACATATCAAAAAGTTGTGATAACTTGAATTTTAAACAAAGCTTTTTGTATTTTAATGATAAATCATACACAAAGTTCAATATCCAACCTTAATTTGGAATCAACTCCAGTTGTGTCCTGTAACCCAGTCCCTGTGCTACTAGGATCAGTATTTGGTTATCAGGTATATATTCTCGAGTCTGCTTTTAATAACACCTACTTGGGTACTATTTGGACTTCAAAACTCGATTTTGCCACAGAGTTAGTAAACAGCATACAGTTCATACCTTATTTATTGATCCGAAAACACCTGTTGAAATCAAGTCCGAAACAATACTGAAGGTCCTTATTCTGCGAATAGCTCTCTCAACATGAATCCTATGCTGGGCTATGGTCTGTGTTTGGTTGACATCTGAAGCAATCCGCTGGCAACCAGCAGACACAAACGGAGGGATGATACGTTTTAATCCAAGTTTGCTCAATTCATCTGTTATGGTAAATCCTTTGTCAGCCATTACTGCATCACCCTTTTCAATATATTTAGCATCAATCAGTTGCTGTAATAATGTATAAAATCCACCTGTGATGTTATTTCCTTATCAGACATAGATCCGGCAAAACGTTCACTCGCATATATCAAATTACCCATTGGGTCACAAGGGATTTGAAATCGGAGTACATCTGTGACTGTAGTTTTAATTATGATGACTTCTGTGTTTTCAACTCTGTACAGTCAATTATTACAATAGAATTTGGGAATTCCTGCCTAAACTTGGTGGGCATGTTGCTGTTGGTATCATTACGATGCGGCCATATATGAATAGAACCAAGACATATATACATGTGGTCAACCCAAGTAAGGAACAGTTCACTAGCGGCTTGAGTGGAGAAAGCAAATCTGAAAGACAGATCTTTAAGACCAAAATTGTGTCGCAGTCTCATCAATGTTAACAACAGTTTATCCTCACACACCATGTTAACTATGTCTTTCCTGTTATTATGTTGTTGTGGGGCTTGAATAGTAAGAAAGTCAAGTAGGGCCTGGAATGTTGAGAATTTGAATCCTGTTTAATATTCAAATAATCCTTGAATCTGTGATTTCTGCTTTAAAATATCCCGAACAGTCAATGGTTTGGGTTTGACATCACTTACAGGATTTCCCAATGTAGCTTCTTGTTGTTCATACCACACTCTAGCTGTACTTATTAAATTAAGACTTCAGACTGATGAATTTGTAGTTGCAGTTGAACAGGGTTAGGGTATTCATTTTCCTGGTTGTGGTGGTGTTGGTGGTGGTACCCTGAAAAAAAGTTCAATAAATAAATCAAATTCAGCTGATTTAATTTATTTTCAGTCTCAGAAGAATGACTATGATAATATAACATATTGTAATAATAGAATATATTATAATAATAAACTTACACTAATATTGCATATATAACGTGTTATCTGATAGTGTGAAAAAAATAGTTAGGTACAGAGGATACAGTTATTAGCATCGGTGTCCAAATTTCCAAGCGTGGCTTACCAGCCACCGGCTGGGCCGGAGGCACCTGTAGGTCCAGTGGCACCTGTAGCTCCGGTTGCACCTGTTACAGAGGTGCCGGTTGGACCGGTAGCTCCGGTAGCACCTGTTGCGCCTGTGGTACCTGTTTCGCCGGTGGCACCTGTAGCCCCGGTGGCACCTGTTGCTCCGGAGGTGCCGGTGGCACCTGTTGCTCCGGAGGTGCCGGTGGCACCTGTAGCTCCGGTTGCACCTGTTGCTCCGGTGGCACCTGTAGCTCCGGTGACACCTGTTGCTCCGGTGGCACCTGTAGCTCCGGTGGCACCGGTTGCGCCTCCAGGTCCTCTTGGACCTTCATTGATATCAGTGAGTGTTACTAATGCAAATACTGAAATACAAAACAGAAGTTTTACAATTAAAATATTTAAATAATGCATAGTTCATGTCATGTACATAATGCTATCTGCCTAATTTTGACATTTTCCCACAAATTATTGATTGACTATAATGATGACTGTTCTGTCATATATTATATATATATATGTCTTGCTCAAGTTAATTTAATGATATATATGTTTTCCCGGTATATGTTTTCTTTTGGTAATTCCGAAGTATCCTATTTTGCCGCCGATATTTAGGAAATTTCCTAATGTCTTTTCTCTTATGTTCTAAGTACCTTTTTAAGGATGCATTGTGGGTAGGATATACACTGCTTTACCGTGACATGGAGACAGACAAATATTCATGTCGGGCTAACGGGCGCCATTCTATTTATCTGTCACCCAAATAAGATCTTAAAGTCACGCTGGGCCTGGATAGTCCTTTGTCGGGAGCTCCGACAAAATAGTGTTTTTCTTATATATCATTACACGTTTTGTAGTTTAATTTTTGAATTACATACTACATAAGTAGATAGTATCTGTTTTTTGGAACTTTCGGTGGAAATGTGTGTTTTGGACGTTTTGAGTTAGAACAATGGCCTGATACCCTACCTAGTGGCTACTGCTCACAGCACACTCTAGCTACATAAACTTGTATATGTTGAATCGATATATGTATTAATACTCAGTGGAATTCATGGCCAGCAGATAGCACAGTATGGGGAAGAGCAGCCGGGGTTAAGACCAGGGGAGTGGATAAGAATATTGAAGACAGACTAGATGAGATTACATCTTTGTTAACTACACTCATAACAAATGCAGACTTTAATTCCAAGATGCAAAAGTTGAAAGAAGCCATACGAGAGGAAAATAGAGAACTGTTTGAAGAACCCAAAGGGAGAGTGTTCGAACTGGAAATGGAAAATGAGAATCTTCGTCTGACCATTGGAAACTTGCAGACTCAATTCGGTGATCTCTAGTGTTCCAAGGACGCTATATAGAGGCACGTCATAACGATTTGGAGCAGCACGGCCGCAAGAATTCACTCAGAATACACGGACTTAAGGACACATCTGATTCGTGAACTTTGTGTCTTCCAAACTTGAGGTGCATATTACTAGTGGGGACATTGACATTGTTCATCGTCTTGGAAAGTTAACCGGGAAAGACCGAGAAACATCATCGTCAAGTTTACACATCGACGATATAGCTGTAAAAATTCTCAGGTCCCTGTGTTCTTTACGACTCATCAATCTTTTGCGAGATATATTATATAAAATAATATTTCAAATATATCACATTAAATAACAATTCAATTCACTTTCTTTGTGTTTTTTTGTCATAGACTATGAATATAACG